GACATTGTTAGTGAATCTGAACCTGGTACTGAGCGTAAAAAGGATACTGAAGATGGACCTGGTATTGAATTTGAAGAAGACATTGACGTTGTTAGTGAATCTGATAATGCCTTAGAAAATACTGCTAATTATCAACATGGACACCTACCTCCAATCCGCATTGAAATTTATCGTGAAAAAACCTTTGGAACTTGGAAAGAATGTCAAGAGCATTAGAACGTTATACACGTCAAAATAACTTTGCGATCAAAAAAAAGCGGGTAGATAATAGCCTTGATCTACACCAGCGTACTTGGGATTGTGAACGGTCTGGTAAATATATCTCACGTAAAACTACTTCACCTGAAAAGCAAAGAAATAAGGGTTCAAAAAGAATTGGTTGTCCTTTTCTGGTGAATGCGTGCAAGAGTAAGGGCCCTGATAATGAAACTATAATTAAGTTGACATTGATGAAGCTTGAACACAACCATATATTAGTTCCTGAAAACGCTAGCTTTGCTACTAGCTATCAGAAACTTACCACAGAAATGAAGAAGCTTATTGAAAACTATGTCCTTTGTGACATTGATGTCCCATCTTAGGTTCGGTTACTCTGTAGGTTATTTCTTGAAGCCACAATTGTGGATTATGATGTGAAAAACTATGTGTATAAGTTTCGTCGTACTCATGATATATAGGGGTATAATACTGCAAAGCTTTTCCAGCACTTTGAAAAAGAGCGTACCAAGAATCCTAATTGGTATGTTCAATCATTAATTGATCCAGAAACAAACAGATTACAAGGTGTATTCTATATGACCCCTGAACAATGCGAACTTTGGCGACATTATGCAGACATTACTTTAAACGACAATATAGCAGCGACCAACATCTATAAACTCCCATTGTGCATTTTTGCTGTTGTAGATAATAATTTCAAATCACGAATTATTGCACAGACTATATTGCCTGATAAAACAAGTGAAAGTTATAGATGGGTTTTACAACAAACAATTGAAGCTACAGGAGTTCAGCTCGGCGCTTTTATAATTGATGCAGATCTAGGTCTTGAAAGTGTTGTTCCCGAAATATATCCTGATATCTACCTACTCCATTGTATCTGGCACATTGGGCATAACATTGAAAAGCAGCTTGCAAAGCTACTTGATGATTGTTATGCAGATTTTATCAAAGCATTTTATCGTTGCCGAAACGTTTTATATAAAGAAACATTTGAGAAATACTGAAAACAACTTATGATCAATTTTCCAGAATCAACTGAATACCTACTTAGACAGCTTGATCCACATAAAACAACCTGGACAAAAGCATTTACAGGTTGAGTTTTTACGGCAAGAATAATATCTACACAACGATCTGAATCAATAAACGGTATAATTAAACGGACTGTAAATGAAAGAACTCAACTTCACATCCTGTTTAACCGAATTGAATCACGTGTTGCAGAAGAACAATTTGCTGGTCAGTTTGCGGCTTGGCGTGAAAAGACAACATCATATATGACACCAAGTGTCCCTGGACGACTTTTTTCTGAAATATACAATATTTTGCAAAAGTATGTAATGCCCAAAATTTTACAGTTACATATTGATCAAATGAATGAGGCGGTGATGTATCATAGCAAAAGGTTAATTTTGAGAATCCATATAATTTAACATTAGAGGTTGTTGATAATGGGCCGATTGAATTTGAGTATGACTTTCGTCAGATACGTTTTGATGAACTTCTTGAGGGGATCGATCATTCCTTAGTTGCTGAGATTTGGGAAGTTCAATCAATCGAGTATAAATCAAATATTGGACAGAATATAGTGCTGCTAAAAAATAGATTTTATTTATGCACATGCATCTTATTATTCGATAGTAGAGTGATTTGCCGTTATTAATTTTGTGTTCTTTTATAGTCTGAAAAGGCTTATTTTCATATTTCTCTCATTCCAAGACATTGGTACAAAAACGAATTTATGGATGCGGTAGTTGTTGATGAGCCATTTCTTAGAAGAAATTTATTAGAAAAGAACAGTTCAACACTATCTTTACCTTCTTTTCCGGATGTTGCTGATTCGTAGAATACCATGCTTATTGAAGCTCCTGTACAAGCTGCAGCAAAAGCAATTGGCCGTAAACAATCGATTAAAGGAACATTGCTTGGGCTTGCCCGTAAATGTATAGAAGTAGTTAATTATGATGATTTAAATAATTCAAAGATTTTGATGGAAACATTTAAGGAATAGATACGCATCCATGAGGAAGCACAATGCAGCAAACAAATTATAAAACAGGAACTAGATGATAACCAAATTGTAGAGAGTGATCAAGGTACAGAGAGTAATTAGGATACAGAGAGTGATCAAGATACAAAGAATGATCAAGATATCGAAACTACACGACTAGATGTTCAGAACCTACTTAAATATATTGGAAAAGGGCGTCCCTCCAAAAGACATATAAAATCAGCAATTGAAAAACTGAAAAAATATATACGTACTTCGTCTCATGCTTCTCGTCAATGTAGTGTTTGTAAAAGCAAGGAACATGATAAGTGAAATTGCCCTAACAAATAGTTGATATAACACATTATTTATTCTTGTACTGTATAATATGTAATAATCTCAAATTGATATAGCAAATTAATGCTCAAATTGAAACTTAGAATTAATGATGATTTATGAAGTATGAGAAGCACCTTTCTCAATAAACTCGATAAAGAATCTGATTGGTCAGTTTTATCTTATATACCAATCAGATTCTTTATTGATTTTATTGAGAAAGGTACTTGAGAACGCTCTAAATTACATAGTAATTTAATATCGCTCAAGATATTTACTTTAACGTAAAATTTTAATTTATTTAGCACTAAAGTTACTAAGGCAGAACTTCAGTCATTTCATTTTAAGATTAGAATTAGATAGGTTAAGTCAGAAGCAACATATTATAGATAAGGTTAAGCTTATACGATGCATGGTTCGTCTTCTAGCAAGGTTCTTTTGATAAAATAGAAGTTTGCAGGCCTTCAGCCTGCAAACGTTTGTATAAGTGGTAATTTTTTTATAGAAGTTTGCAGGCCGAAGGCCTGCGAACATTTGTATAGGTATTAATTTTTTTATAGAAGTTTGCAGGCCGAAGGCCTGCGAACGTTTGTATAGGTGTTAATTTTTTTTTGATTTAGATCGTGCAAGTTGTATGTATAATGCATTTAGGCAAGTATTTTGAGGTTATTTTAAGCAATTGCATAGTTTATTTCGTGTTAAGGCTATATACAAAATAATTTGGTTCTTTTTTTTTTTTTTTATTTAGATCGTGCATTGGCGTATAAAATTTAAACTCCAAACGTTTTTAAAAGATTATGGTGAGTACTAGCATAGCTTATTCTTTCATTGTTAGTATGAAGACTAAAATAATTTTATTTTAACAAAACGAATTTTTATTAAACATGATTAGATTATGCAAGACCGTATCAAATTTACTTTTTCCAAGTGCTCCCATTTTCAGGGTAGAATTAGGGTATTTCTTATTTCATGTTAGGATTAGGCTTTAAGCATTAAGTGGTGCTGTTCACTTCACAGACAATCACTTTGTAGACACCTTATTTCACCAACAAGTTTATTTTTACAGATCTTTGGTAAAATAACCTATTTATAAAACAAACATACCTATGAATTAATTGTCTGTAAAGTAATCTTGTCTGATTTAATTGTCAGTAAAATAGGTTAAAGTGATGGTGAAATTATGGATCCGGGTTAAGAAAACTGTAGATTTAACTTTTTTTTATATATATTTTACGCATTTATTGAGTGTAGATTTTGCAAGACTGTATGAAATTTGATTTCTTCAAATATTCGTTTTTAAAGGTTAGAATTAGAGTAAGTATTCATATACTTTTTTTTTTTGTATCAGAATTTCAGGTATAAATAATTTTTTTAATTTAGGTCGTGCAAGGTTGCATTAAACTTAACTTTTCTAGATATTCTTTTTTGGAGCTTAGAATTAGCATTGTTACTTGTGTGCGTTAAATTTTAAGATGTTAGTTTTTTGTATTTAGTTAAATTGAGTTATTTAGGGCGTGATATTTAATAGTGATGTGTAATTATTTATTTTATACATGTGATATATTTTCTGACAAATAAAAAATTAGTGATATATAAGCCATTGTCACATATGTGACAAATAACTTCGTCCTATATTTATTATATATTTTCTTAAATTTTATTATATTATTTATATTATTATTGTATATTTTATAGTATTGTTAGTTTATTTATATAGTTTATAACATATTTTATTTATTTTAGTCACTCAAATGATAGTTTATTATTAACTTTATTAGGATAGTTTTCATAGAATTCTATTTAAAGTAATAGTTATTTAATTATTTAATTTATTAGTTCATTTAATGTAAATAGAATCCAGACCAAGTTATATGAACACAAATAGTGCCCTAGGACAGCCCAGAATGATGTAACAACAACATTAAGGATAAACAAAGCCAAACAAACCCAAAATAATAAAAATGCCCTTGCTATATCAAAAGGTGTCTATCCTATATTTAAAGGTACCCATCTTATAGTAAAAAGTGCCTATCCTATAAGGAAAAGTGCTCTTGCCATAGTAAAAGGTGCCCAATCTCTAATTTTAATTATTTTAAGGTGCCTATCCACTATCTGAAAGTACCTATCCACTATCTAAAGGTGCTCATGCTATAGTAGAAAGTGCTTTTTCATTAATAAAAGGTGCATTTACTTAATTAATTACTATGTTTTATAGTAAATTAATATACCAGAAAAAGATATATAAACCCTGCCTCTTTCCTCAAGGCAAGAAGACAGTTGATCCCCATATTTTGGTCGCTATAACCTTGTTATTAAATACTTTGGTCTTGGGAATAGGTCCTATTTTTATTTTTGTTATAACTTTGTATTAGGAATAAGTCCTATTTTTAGTATTTTTACATTATTTTTATTGGGAATAAGTCCCTTTTCTGTGATATTTTTTTGAAAACTATTGTATTTTTTTGAGTTATATATATTTGTTTTATCTGTGTTATTCTTTTGAGTATTATTTGAGTTAATAAATTTATTTTTTGTTTATAAACTTTGTTGGTTATAACCTTTTCTTTATGAGTATCGCTATAGCAATAAGTTGACAATATTTTATTTTATTTATAAACTGTTACTTCTATAAATTATATAAACACATTTCTTAACTACTTGTACACTTAGTCAAGTAAGGTAACTTGTTAACTAAAGGTCTAACTTGTTACATTACAATATTATGGTTAAACAGTGTACTGTTAGATATAATAATAGATAATTTGGCTTTATATTTGGCTGTAGTTAGATATTGTAAAAGAATTGAATTATATGTGGTTTTAGAAAATATAATGTTGTATATATGGTACTCTAAGATAAGAATAATGGCATTGTTAATAATGTAGGTAGCTTGCTTATTAATAATGTTTTTTGTTTTGAGTATGTTGTTAAAACCAAATATTTCTTATTTAATAAGTTTAATTTGTGTAGCATATTTAAATGTAGCTATAAATTAGTATCCCAAAAACTTGAATGGAGTATGTTAAAGTTGTGTTTGGATGAAGTGATTCATAAAACTAATATTTGGAGTTTAATTAATATTTAATACCAATACTGTTTTTTATAGATTTACTTTGATGTTTACTATTTTGTAAAATAGGAATGCTGTTTGTGTTATTTGTTGTAACTGTTTAAGTGATTTAGCAAGCCACAGAGTATCATCCATATAGGCTAACACAGATGTGGAAGCTGATGTTTTTTGTATTTAGTAGGATTAAGTTGAGTAATCCATTCAACTGTAGATAAGTATCCAGTATAAGTTTTATTGATATATATAATAAGAGGATTATAATAAATATGCCAAAGAAAAGGTGTTATTGTCTCTTCTTGATTAATTCTATCTTGTATATTGTAGAGAGGTGATAGTTTATAATTTGTGATAACTGATTTGTATGATTTTGTAGTAGATTAGTGATAATTTGTATAAGTTGAGTAAATATGTTGAAGTATTACAAAACTTTGTAAAGAAGGTATATATTGACTGAATTATAAGCTTTACTTATATCTTGTACATCAGCAAATTTATTGAGGCGAAATATTTCGAAATAATTTACGAAACGTAAAAATAGCGTAATATTGCGTAAACTATTTCGAATTAATGCGAAATATCAAAATTACG